AACACTGGTGTGCAGCCTGACTGATGCTGCCCGTCGCAGGACAACGTGCGGGAAACGTGCCAGGGAGGGCGAGCATAGATAGATACCCTGTCTGGAGAGAGAATCCTTCTCCTGAGGTCCTTTCCTTTTCATGTTACAGCAGATGGACAAAAGGGATTACATTAAAAATAGCTGGAAATAATCGTTTAGTACCAGTGCAGAGAGTTACAGATGAAGATCTTCAAGCTCTTGTTGCTGTCTTACAAAATACTGTGTTTGTCACAGGTATGTTTTCTCATATTTGCACTATGACTTCAAACATACATGGAAAAAAAGGAAGCAATCTTGTTTTCAGCCTGAATTCATGCTTATTTATTTTTGTTTAGAGATCAGTTCCTTGTAGATATGCATTTGTCGCATTCTTCATCTTTTTTAGGCTTGGACCTGCGTTATAATGTATTAACTGATGATGGAGCAAAGCATATGGCGAAATTCCTTCAGGTACCAGAATGATGTTCATCTTTCATCAACGCGTGATTTATTTGGCTATGATAATATTTATCTGCAGTGCGCTTGAGACAAGAATGCATTGTATTGGCAAAATTCCATTAATTTTGACTTTCACATCTAAATCCATCCCAGTATAATCTCAGATCACATTCTCTGGGGAAATTTGTAATTTATTTCCATGTACTGGTAGCAGAAGAGGCAGATGTTTGACATTGTCTGGTGTGTCATGGGAAAGGAAGGTGAAATAAACGGGGGAAAGGAAGGTGGAATAAACGGGGAAGGGGGTGTCAGGCTTGCAGTTGAATTCAGCAAAGGGTGAGGTGGTAGTGTCGAGTGTGCCGAGGCCTTTGCTTTAGATACTTCATCTCTGTCTTTTTGTGGATCTGAACACTGGCATCTTCAGTGCTGCCGTCCCACTACTGAAAGCACCAAAATCCACCTCTAAAAGGTGATTTGCTGCTCGGTACCTACGTTAGTAGAGTTCAAGGAATACCATTAAGTTCACAAACTGCCTGGGGGTTTGCACCTGGGCACGAGCGCCCGCCCGGTCTGGTAATGTGGGTAGCCAGGCAGCTGCTCTGAGCCAGGTGCTGGTCATAAGCCCCAAGAGCACCCACAGCCAACACAGTTTTGTGTCTCCCTCATCATCTGATGCACTTGGATTTCTGTTAACCACTTCCACATCAGGGGTTGCCCAAAAGGCATGGAAAAGCAGAAGCTGTAAGCTTTTTCCTTTTTGAAAAGTGCAGGCATTCTACAGGGGGGAAAAAAATAATTGCTTTTTGTCACTGTGTGTTCCTTAGGAGAACTCAACTCTGCGCTACCTTAACCTGATGTTTAATGATATTGGCACGAGTGGAGCAGAGCTGATAGCAAGAGCACTCCAGGTGAGTGTTAGTCTGCACCAGCAGTGCCGTTCTAGGTGATCTGGGCAGTGGAACCTAGTTTGCTATTTTTTATTTCTGATTAACAGTACTAGCTGCCCTGCCAACATAAAAGTTGACTTAAAATGTCACTCTGTCTTCAGACTACTGCTATTACACAGAAGTAATTTGTTTTTCCACAGCAGACCTCAGGGATCAGATTTCAGACAAAGTTGTTCTCTTCAGTTGCTATTAATACTTAATTATCACAACTATCCTATATCTGGGTTCTTCTGTGTGAGAGATTTGGCATTGTTTTCTTTATCAAAATGAAATATTTCCTTAGTATCCATAATTTCCAATAGCCCAAACTGCTTTTTCTTTCTCATTTCTGATCTAAAACTGCTCAATAATGCTCCGAGCTTTTTCCTTTGAAAAACTTTGTCAGTGCTTGCCTCGATTCAAGCCACCTGAGACATGTTTTCAAAACTTTGTATCACAGCAGCAGCATAAAAACATGTTTATTATTTTAGCCTGGTTTCCTAAGGAAATGAGGCTTGTGCGTAAGGTTTGTTGTTTTTGTGAAATGACTCGCGTGAGCTCTTTCTTCCTCCTCCGTGGTGCTTGAACCCTGAGCTAAGTTCAGCTAAATCTGAATCAGGTCTCCAAAACACTAAGGTTCTCGAGAGGACGGTGCCACGTTGGGTGCACATGACACTCCCAGCGCTGGCTTTTCTAGACCTCCCAGGGCAGTTCTGGGTTTTGCTGGGGAGACTTGGCTCCTACTAAGATGAACACATGGGCTTGACTGTGCCAGGCAGAGCTACTATCACTGCCCTTGAAGGCAACTGCCTTTGCTGGGCCTTGATGGCTCTGGTTAAAAACCTCTGAAAAAAACAAAGCAAACTCCTGGTTTCTTAAAAACAAACTATATTTTTGTATAAAAGCACATTTAATTGATGTAAATCAGTTTTAGTATAATTTGCATTTCAGCTGCCTATTTTAGCATAAATTTCTCCCTGGAGTATATTTCCAAGCCTGAAATTCGGGAGCCCCCATCAGAGGAACAAAAGTTCTCAAATAATCAGGCTTTCCATCCAGACTGTCATGTTTTTGATTCCACTGTGGGGAGCCTGAGCCAAGTGCTTACTCAGCGCCATCAGCTAGACACTATTATTGTGCAGGGATGTTTTGTCTTTGTGTGACAACCGGCAGGATTCACAGGAGAGAGGACAGTGTTGCTGTTCAGGCCATTGCAGAGGAATTAAGTTCTTTTTATTTATTTTGTCTAGCGGAATGAAACACTTCTGTATTTGAGAATGACTGGAAACAAAATAGGAAACAAAGGTGGGATGTACTTTGCCTCAATGCTGCAAATCAATTCAGTCTTAGAGAAACTAGATCTTGGGGACTGTGATCTGGTGAGTAACCCAGGAAAATTATCGGTGATGAGATAAGTAATAGTATCTCAAGGGTATTGCCAAGGACCTGCAATGCTTTTGTAGGGGGACAGGCCATCTGTTGCCACTTATTTTAAATACTGCATATATACTGCTGCAGCATGTGCTGGAAGGGTAAGGTGGGTTTGGGAGAGCGCCCGTGGAGTCGGGTCCTGTGACGTGGGGTCACGGCACCACTTGGCATTGGCGCTGCTGAAGCTGCCGCTCCGAGGCCGGACACCTCCCTGACGTGGTTTCCCCTTGTGGGGTGACCTCAGCGGGGCTGCAAGGGGAAGTGGCTCCCTTCCCTGCCTGGGCTACATCCTTTTTCTTGCCCTGCTGAAGAAAACCTGCTCTAACCAACCTAGAAGTGAAATTAAGTTGGGGCACTCAGTCTTCCTGTTAAAACTATTCATCCTTCGGGAGACAACAGAGATATGTTGGGCAGAAGAAGTAAGTTTGACTGTAGTCCAAGTGTTGTGACTGTATCTGGAAGCAGGGAGAGACCTGGGGTCAGGTGATAATTTTATTAAAAATGTTAGTCTCCTGAAATTACAGATTTTTTTTTTTCTTTGCCAAACTAAAGCAGGAATTATGCTTTAGAAAATGTGAAAGGTCTTGCAAATACCTGAACAAGGAAAATGTAGTCAGTGCAGATAAGATAGTGGATTTAAAGTAAAATAGCTTTAGGCATAGATAAATCTAATTGTAAAGTAGCCTAAATATAAGTTAGTAAGCAAAATAGAAGAAAATTCAAGAGGCAGGGGGAAAGATTGGCCGGTATCCTAGTCTGTATTTCATTAATGCATTTAATATGAATTTATTTAATGGATAAAAGCTAGCCAAAACTTCTACCAAAAACCTTGGAGAACATGCACAAACCCATTCTCCCATAAATCATATGAAAAAACTACATTATTAACTAAATGAACCAGGATTTCCTTGAGACGCATTTTTTTTCTTGCTTTTTTATTTTATGAGTTGCCGAAGCTCCTAGTCATTTATACCTCTCAGTCTGATTCCTCTGTTGTTCCATAGGGACTGGTGTTATCAGAAAATACATTATGTGTCTGTAAATACTTTCTAATGCACTTACACCTCTCTGTGATATGTGGTGTCAGAAGTAAGAGTATTTCCAGTCGGAGCCCACTTGACAAACAGTTCTGAGAAGTCATCGTAATTTTGTAGCTTGGTCTCTGTGCCATGGGATGGGTTTTTCTAAAGAGTTTATTTTCATTTTCAGGGTACACAGAGTCTTATAGCAATAGCAACAGTCCTCACTCCACACGAGTCTGTCAAAGCAATAAACCTGAACCGTCCCTTACTGCACAGCCAAGCGGTGAGTCTGTAGCTAGATGCAGTGGCAGCCCAGTCCGAGGTGTGTAAGTACAGTCCGTGCAGGAGTATTTGAGAACTCCTGGACTAGGGGCTTCCTGACAGAGTAATTTAAGTGATTCCAGGAAGACCTTTTCTCTTTCTGCCCCAAGCCTTGAGCAGTTACAGGTTGCTTTAGTTTAACTGAAGTGTCTGTATTTCTTTCTTCATACATGTGTATTTGTCAAATAAAAGGCCAATGAAGATACTAATATTGGTGAACCCAGTATTTCTACTTGCAACATGGCGAGTTTGCACAATGCTCAGCAGAGTGAGGGAGAAATGATGTTTAGCAGGAAATAAAGAGAAGACCCAAAGCCTGCTGCTTATCTGAGCAGTGCACAGCAATGACCGGGTCTCAGAGCCCCCAGGAGAGGGGCCGGCAGGCTCTGCCCTTCGCCAGCTTCAGGGTGCTCTTTGGTTTTGTTGTTCATCATGCGGACTTGAGAGCATAAATCTTGAATTTACTGCAAATGTTAACGAACCTTACAAAGCAAAGGCAAAACAGCAAAGCACTAAGGAAGAGTCGCCAGGGCTGTGGCTGCTGTGGGGGTGAGCGTGAGCACACGGAGCTCTGGCACTTGAGCCCGAAGACGCCAAACAGCCCCGGGGCTGCTGCCCAGTGCTCACTGCAGAGCTGCTGGGGGGATGTCTGCACCAGACCCACAGCAGCTTTCACGTGTTCATGGGACAGACAGTGTTTGGCCTGTGGCAAAATGAAGTAATTAAACAGTCTCCGTATATCCCCAAAGTTTTTAAGGTTGATGAATTTCAGTTGTTTCTTTCCTATTGAGGCAGCCTAAACACTGTTTTGAAAGTCAATTTAAACTATTGCTACTGAAAATACTGGCTGTTGATTTGTTGAAGGCTTCCTCCTTGTCGTTAGTCTCACCTTCAACTCTTATCACCGACCCCTGGGCTTTTGCCTTATTTTTGACTTAGAACTCATTTATTATCTTAACTAAATGTGACAACTTCAGAATGAACTTGCTATGTTTTACAGTGACAGGACATATTTTTTTCCCCATAGTTAATCCTGTTTCTTTTAATGAAGTAGTAGATCTGTGTCATGAAAAAAACAAAAATACTTTTAAAGTTATCAAAGGCTTACTTGAGCAGTTTTGTAAGAGTAGTGAGTGATGGAAGGGGAACAGATTAGACATAATGGTTCAAATATTGATGCTCCTGATATTTGCAGGAATGTATAGGGCTATAAATCTGGAATTATCTTTTTGGTATTTGTCGCTTTTTTTTTCCAGTATCATCACAAAAAGTTTCCAGGCTAATTAAGATAGCTGTAGTATATGTAATAGAACGCTATGACAGATGAGCAAATCCTGCAGTTATTTGTGTATCTCTTGCTGAAGCAAGACTGGATCTTACACTTGCTTTTATTAAACTCAACTTAATGGTATCTTTTTAGGAAGAGACCACAGTTCACATAGCTCTGATGCTGAAAACCAACTCTTCTCTTGTGGAATTACATTTGCGCAAGCATGAAATGAAAAAATTTGGTGTAGAGAGACTATGCGAGGCGTTGTATGAAAACTGCAGCTTGAGATATCTTGATCTTAGCTGGTAAGAGTTACTACATTACATAGACCGTAGGTTAACATTTGCTACTTTGCTTTCTTAGTATCCCATTAAAAAAAAAAATGAACAAAACAAAACAACAAAAAAACCTGTGTGTCTCTTTCAGTAATAAAATAACTCGTGATGATGTGAAGATTTTAGGAGATCTGCTAAAACGGAACCAAACCCTGCAAATCCTAGATCTTAATTCAAACCGAATAGAAGATGTTGGAGCTGTCTACCTGAGTGAAGCCTTGGCATTGTGCAACAGGACCCTTCAAGCGTTAGTATTAAACTTCCCAGAAACTCTGGAGTAACACTGAGCAAAAAAGAAACAGTGGATGAACTGACCCCAGAACTGAATTTTTGGAACGTTCCTGATCAAAATAGGAAAGTAGGACAAAAAGCTCAAAACCTTTTGGTCTGAAAAGGCAAAAATGAGCACAGCAAGCACAGTGGGATTCATCTCCCTGGCATAGGTGCCTTGTGCCATCTGCGGTGCCCCATGACGTGGCACGTGCACAGGGTGCTGGCAGGCCCAGCCGCAGCGCTGCGGCTGGTGGCCCCAGTGGGTGCTCTGATGCATCTCGAGGGTGCTGAGCCCTGTCCTTGGGAACTGCACGAGGCCCCTGCAGCTTTGCTGCAGCTGAAGCCCTGCCAGCAAAATGAAGGGCAGAGACATGACATTCAGTCCGGGGTGTGAAGGCCTCATGTCACCTTCCAGTACTGCCAGTCCTATTCATAATTTTTATTTCCTTTTCCTCTCACCATCTTGCGTTTGACTCACAGCTTTCACAGTTTTTGCCCTTGTAAGAGGGAGGGGAAAAAAAGAGACAAATAGATCTTAAGGGTTTGCTTGTTTGGTGTTTGGTGGTGTTGGGTTTTTTTAGTTCCTGAATGCATAGGTCACATGCTGCACAAGGGTAACAAACCAACGTCTCCAACTCTTCCCAATATTAAGGTAATCAGATTCTGTGCAGGGATAAGGCTCTATATTTGTTGATTTTGATCTTCAACACTTAAGGCAATCCTGTGTTTAAGTTAGCTTCCGGGTGAGCCCAGAAGAGCTGTAATCCCTCTATCAGGGTAGGTTTTGTAGCCTGTGTTAAACCATGAGCCAGGAGGCTGTAAAAGCTGATCAAAGGTGTTACCTGAAGCTATTAGTTTAAGTAGCAGACTGAGGAGGTGGTGGCTGCTAGGTGCCTCTGAAAGCCTTCCAGGTTCACTAATATAAAAATAACTGCCACTCCACAAAGAGCAAAGCTTAACCTGGCTAAGTGCCAAGGCTTGGGCTTCAAAGCAGACTAAACACAAGACCTGGCCACCGTGCACTAAGTCAGTGACACTGAAGAAATGAATAGTGAATAACCTTGCTGCTTGAGTCAAGGAAGTGCTTTGAGAAATAGTGTAATTCCATAGTCCAAACTGCCTTAGCAGCCTGAGGAGGATATTTAGTAACAGTACTTGACCTGATAGATACGAATAACCATATAAAAATAACGTGTGGGAACTTGGTGTGTTGGCACGTACCTGCACAATGACTTTTTCTCTTTATTAGGTTAGCAGTAGCAAGCAACAATATAAGCAGCAAAGGACTCATAGCTCTTTCAGACTCCATGAAAAAAAATACGGAACTTTCTTATATTTACATTTGGGGGAACAGTTTTGATGAAGCTACTTGTATGGTAAGTGTTCCCTTCTGAGTTCTTTTGGGAGGGCTGCTTTTATTTATTACACCAGCTAGTGTGTAAGATACCTGAGCACCCTTTTATTGTTACAATGACCAAAGATCCACTGGACAGCAACAGACTGGACTAATCAAGTACTTGCTAACCTGTTATCTTCTGGAGTCTCCTGGAGTCCAAGTGGATGGTAGAGCATCCTCCTGGAATATCTTATGGCAGGACTTTGTTTTTATTTGATTTCAGGCATTTTCAGAATTAATTCGCAGTGGCCGCTTGAAGCCTCATTGTACAGACGTGGAGCCATACGAAGTGGATGGGCACGTGCACCTCGCCGAGGTCTCCCACGGCCTCAGGAAGCATTACTACTGGACACCCAGCTGGGCAAAGGCCGAGGACAAACACGCCAACGCCAGCCTTGCGCTCGGAGCTGTTTCAGAACACTTGTGAGTAAGGTGGCAGTTTGACACACTCATGGATGCTTGAGGTTTTTCTCTCAGGCTTCTGGTCAAGTAGGTTAAGTCTACACAGTGGTTCTCTACAGCCTTCAGTATGGAAGGAATCTAAAAAGCGCTTGCCAAGGGGGGAAAAAAGGCCTTAAAATATCTAAACGCATTTCTCCAGCGTCCAATGAGCTTAAAAATTGTTGCTAAACAATGTCCAATCCATTAAAAGCCTCTTGCTATGAAAACACCTTGCTCTTGCTGCAGTCCTGTCTATTGCATACACACACACACGATCTGTCTTAATGTGATGAGATGTAGTTCTAGGGTTCCCTGGTCATAGACGAGTTGAGTGGAGTAACATACTAAGTACGTTATGCCCTTTTGAAAAGGGCTCTTCCTCTAAGAGTAGTACTGGGCGTTCCTGGCAGCACTAGGGAATGCAACAGTCACAGACCACAGAGGTAACTAAAGGAGAGCCTGTGGGGGACGTTACTGCCTCTCTACAGCCTGCGGTAGAGCCAGGCAGACAAGAACTTGTGCTCAGGGCAGCAGTTTTGCCCCCCAGCAAGAGAGGCTGCGGAACAAGATCCCTGGAGAAGCTGAGCAGGACTGGGTAAATCCCCTTGTCTCTAGTGCTCTGTATCCCTGCTCACCTTTTACATGCTAATGAGCTGCTTATGGTCTTTTGCCAAAGGTGACTTTTTTTTTTAAAAAAAAAATGTAACTGAACTTAAGCATTTAGACAAAATAATGTAGGAATCTCCACTTTTTTTTACTAATACTGAAGCTACTGAACATGGTTTGCTGGTATATTAATATTTTAATTAGCCTGCAGCACAGAGTTGTTTTTTGTACTATAAATTCAAAACTAAACCAGGTGTCCTGTTTTCCCTTGTCTTGGTTTAGAAAGATTCGTATCATCACAGTCAGATGGAAACATTGACACCTGAATAAGACAACATGTGCACATGAGGGTAGTTAAATTGTTTAATGGTTTTTGGATACAGCCTTTTTAAGATTTTTTTTTTTTGTGAATCGCTCAAGGTATTGTTTCCTTTTTTCCCCTGCTTACACTGTTCATACCTGTAGAAGTGACCAGATCTATGCCCTAAATAGAAAAAAGGGACCATATAGGACAGCAGTGGTTTGCTGAGACTTGCACTAGTGCAGTCTTCTGCATTCCTGTACAAGTGAAAAATGAAGAGTAAGTAACAATCCCCATGTTGATAGAGTCATTCCCTCACCCTCCTGGCCTGCCAGAGCCAGCTGGGAACAGTGCTCCCGAATCCAGTTCACTCCCTGGAGCACAGGTCCCCATGTTCTCCTCCAGAGCAGCCTAACAGCTAGGACACCTGGAAGCAGGACATGCAGAGCAGGAGCCTGGGAGCAAGTTCTCCCTGTGCTCTGCAGAGGGACCTCAGACCTAGTGCTCCTTCTTCCAGTGCATCCCCACAGACCTGTGGTCCCACTGTGTGGGAACCCTCTTCTGGACTGTAAGTCTTGTAAGAAAGAGCAGTGCAATGAAAACAAGTTGAGGATACACAGAATTTATTGTCTGAGGGGGGTCTGCATGCTGTGGAAATTTTGACTGTTAACATACGTGTATTCTAAAATACGTCTGCATTATCAAAGATTTTGGGGCGTTGCTCTTGGGAGCACTGCAGATTACACCCCGAGTTGTGGCTGCAGGCTGTGTGCTCAGCACCCCTACTCTGATTAGGGAAGTTCTTGCCAGAAAGAAAAGGCATGAAAGTCATACTAGGGTATAATCTTCCCACACATCTTTCCTTCTCTTGTCTGGACTAATTTCATTGCTCAAATTAAGTCTTAAATTACATTTATGAAGGGCCTTACTTTGTAACTGCCCCCTTAAACTGCTGTGGTAACAGGGAACTAGCAGGGGTGGGGTTGTTTTTTTTTAGAAGATGAGGTAAGATGGCCACAGTGTCATACCAAAATATCACAGGATAAATGGCACTGGAGTATGATTCTGATATATTTTTTTTCTATATGAATAATTATTTAGCAACTCAATGCTTGGCTTCTGCTTTAGACAGTCAGGGCTTTTCTTTCTCTCATAACCAAGCCCTCCATTATTAAAAGCTGCATTTTGTATTCTTTTGAAGGAGATAAGTTTACACAGCCTTGAAAGTCTTACTGTGTTCTTGTAAATGCTGCTCATTATTCTAGCAGCCAAAGCAAGGATAGTCATTTTCTGAAAAGAAACAATGCCAACTACCACACATCTGCCTTCAGCACTCACAGCACCTTGCAGAAAAGCAGCATTTTGGCCTCATTTAAAAGGGAAGAAAAATGACCAATTCAGCAGGCCAGAGGTAAAACCCGGGTCCTACTCTCTGATCTAGCCACCAGACAGCAGTCACCTTCTGTAAAACAACACAACTTGGAAATGCACTTAACATTGATTTTAACCTTAAAGATACATCTTCAAAGCAGGAAAAACAAACAACCTCCACACCCCAAACCTTAAAACAACCCTGGGGGAAAGGGAAAAAGAAAAAAAAAAAAAACCCACACCTCCACCCCTCTAACCTTTCACCATTCTCAAAAGCATTTACACTAGATTGCATTCAACTTGATTTGAGCAGACAGAATATTTTGTTATTAGAATCAGGTATTTTTCCTGCCAGGAATAAAATGTAGCAACCTTGCTGTGTTGCAAGGGCTGCCCTGTGTCCTTGTGACTGGTGCTTGGAGGGTGGTTTTGTTAGAGGGCTTCCCTCCTCCTCTCCTTGCTCCCCCTTGCAGTTACAAACAGCAGACACAAGGTGAGGGAAAGGTACAAAACAACTTTATTGAAGTCTAACATAAAACACTTCAGGCTAAGTATGTACAACTCCCTTCCCAGGGATTATAAAATTGAGAGTTGAGCTATATACAAATAACAGATAATTTGTATATACATGAAAGATACTTCAAAAATAACTTAAAAAAAAAGCTATTAGTCCTTATCTGAACTTAGTTCTGTAAGGCTTATCAATAGCCTCTTCAAAGTCACATATGTGAGTGAAATCCTTTGCCTGGGACTTGTCCATACTTGAATGTTTCTTGAAATGCATTACTTCAGAAAAGTTGCCATGCTCTGTGCCCCCATCTAGGCTCAAATTCTGAAGCGAGTTAGCAAGGACTTATTCTAGCATAAATATTGCAGAATAGCTAATTCATAACCTGGTCAGAAAAAACTTGCGCTGACTTCAGTGCAAATTTGACAGAGTATGAAACAGTGGTCTTGCTGACACAAATCATTTGATTTTCTCCAATTTACAGATCCCAGAATTGTTACTATTCCTTCTTCCTTTTGCAGGTAGGTCTCAGGAAGCAGAAGTATGCCTAAAGAGATTCCGTGTTTTCCCATAGTCATCCCTCATACAAATTATCAATACTGTTTTAACACCTTGTACCTCCAAAAGCGAACCTTGAACCCTTAAGTCTATGAATCAGATGTGCAGCTGATTTCTGTGCATCAGCAAAAGCTACAGTACAGACCTGCTTCTTCAGGTCCTACAGCACCCAACCTGAACACTCCTACAAATTATATATATATATATCTAAAAATCTATATTCTAGGAAATGAATACAGTTAAAAAGGAGACCATACCTCAGCAGCTGAGATAGCTTCACAAAAGATGAAGGTAAGAATCAAGACTCTCAGATGGGGACTTGAGAGTGCAGGTCACTAATTTATTGCTCCAAGACAAAAACTACAAGTCTGTGTATTCTATTAAGAAAGATTAAAATGGTTGTCTTGTAAAAAATAATGATTATCTTCTTGTTTATAAAGAAATTTAAATGAGTTATAAAGCAAATATTACTGTTACAAGTATCTAAACAAGATCCTGTATAAATCTAAGCACTGTATTTTTTAAAAAGTCTGAAATCTAAGAATACAGTAATAAGCTATAGTTTTATAAATATAAAAACAAACAAAAAATGTTATGGAATGCATTTTCTGTGTAGGAATGTGTTTTTTTCTTTTTTTTTTCTTAATCTCCCAGAACTAATTGTCACGTGCTCATATATCCTGAATATCTTGATTTTCATGTACTTATCCTCAGCAGCCTATGATTAGTTTATCTTCCACAGATGTTTAAGTGTTTAATTTAATAATTGCACAATGTTGGTTCTTTTTACAGTATTCATGACTAAAGGTATGTCCGTCCAAAGATCATACTACATTTTCAGACAGAAAAGCTATGAGGAAGTATGGTACAAGCTACATTGTGTTACCTTTTGTTAGCTAGAGTCAGGATCCTGATCTCTGTGATTCTTCAGTTGTAAATGAGAGCTCACAAGGAGTCCTTGAGGTACCACGTGAACTATAAAGCTTTAAAAAGAAGTGGTGGGGGGGTCTGAATGGCTGCTTAATAGAAAATCAGAGAACTTCATCCCTTGTCCTTTGATGGAGTTATAAAGGGTATCAGCTGTTCAGAGGGTTTGTCGTATGGGTAAGCAAAGAAGATAAATCTAAGAAAGGAATGGCGAGAATCAGCTTCAATGAACATAGTTATAGATGTCTGTGATAAAAATTTTCCTGGGTAATGGAGTTGTGCTTCATGTTATGCACAGTAGACTAGCAGTAAGGTTAAAGCATAAAATGTGATTAAAAAGCGAAAGTTTTGTGTGTGGCACAACCTAGGATGATCAGTACAAAGAAGTTAAAGGTCTTCCTCTTTACGAGTACCAATGGGCAGGAAAAGAAAAAAGTCCAGTCACGCTCACGAGTCAAGGGACAGTTTACAAAACATTTAAAATGAAATCTTCCATATTTTTTTTCACAAGGCTGTTTAATTAAGGTGCAGGTTAATTATTACTTCATGTAAAACAGAATCAGAAAGGAGGTATTTTCTATACTCTTCTATTTATCAGTATCTGAACACAAGGCATCAGTGGAAATAATATGCTAGCACCAAGTACCTGACCAGCAAATAAGTCTCTTTAAATGTATTGTTGGTACAGTTGACTGTCTCTTTACTATTTGAGGATTACTTAAATAATGCTCACATTATGCTAATAATGGCACAAACTGGAAAATGGAGTATAAAAATACTGTTATTGTGTGAATTAGACTTTAACCAACGGCCCTATCAGACCCTAAAAATGTTGCTATTTTAAAAAAATTCAAGAGTGCTGGTAATAAAACATTTTACATGGGTCTTGCTAAATAACAGTTTTATGAAGTTACTGTGGATAAGTGACAGGCAATGCATTTCATAAATCCTTCAATTAAATCAGTCACACTGATAAATCCTTGACCAGAGGAGTATCTATCTGCTCTGCTGCATTCCTCTTTAATGACCACCCCATTTAGTATTACGGTAGTATTTGCTCAGTGAAGGCAGGGATTTATTTCCTCTTTTGTACCTACTGTGTAACTGAACCATTCTGTGAAACGCTACTGTAACAGAACTGATTGTTATGAAACTGTGATCCGTGCCTCACAATTAAGTTGGTGCATCTTTCTGTCTCTTCTACAATACTCTTGTTCCAGCTCTTTTTTCATGAACTAGGTATTGTTCAAGGGTATTGAACAGGATTTTAGGAAGGTGAAAAATAAAGCTGGGACAAGGTACAACAACGCTGCCTTTGCTTAAAAAAAAAAAAAAAAAAAAAAAAAAAAAAAAGCAGGTGACATCTTGGAAAGAATTTTTCCACTGAGTACATATGTCACTCTGTTACCTTGCCTTGTCAGGGACATTTTCCCAGAGTTTTCCTTCCCTGCTTAGGCCAGACTCCATCTGAGGCAGCTACTTCTGGCAGAGAGCAGTAACTCTTTGCAAGCCCCCCACCACTGGCCTACCCTCCATTGTGTACTCCTCGATACCACCCTGGAATGCAGGAGTACAGGCTTGTTAGGACATCTCAATTGCCATTTTTCCCCCCTCATTGAATTACAATTATTTTCCCCTTCATACATCTTGGGTTAATATTCTTAAACTAAAGAATATGGCTTGAAATATGGTGACAAATCAGATGATGCATTTTGGAGATCTCCTCAGTGTTCCTGCTCAACATATTTAAGAGAGAATTCTTAAGGCAGATGTTGCTGGAAAGGAATAATCTCCTGGAAATCAGTGTCAGCTGCAATTAAAAAAATGTGATTGTAGATTAGCGCAATTCAACAAGAAATGAAAGGCAGCACTGCACAAAGGAGATGCCTTACAAGCCTCTTTACACAGAGGGGGAAAAAAAGAAAAGAACCAAGTCCAACTCCATAAAGTGTAACTGCTTGAATGATTAGGTTCACCTTACCAAAGGATGCGAGTTCGCTACTGATTACCTTGTTGGCTCCATACTGCAGTGTCAATACAACTGCTGCAAGAAAATAAACTGAGGTTCTGAATATCCAGTCACAGCAGATCTCAGTAATGTTTCTGACGAGGGAGACTGACTGCCCGTCACAGGGAGCAGCATCTGATGGTCTAAAAAAGAGGAAGTGGTAAAGACATCTCAGAGGGCTTCACATCTACAGACTCCGATAAAGGACTTTTCTGAACGGATTCTTGTTCATTGAAGGAATTCTCAAGTGTATTGGAATCAGGGGGGGTTTCAGATCCTGTGGGGGGGCAAAAAAGTTTTTCTTAGTGCATTCTATTTCTCTTAGTGCAATTCATATATGGACAAACTTTGTGGAAAAAAAAACTTTGCAGAAGAACTGAGCAACAAGACTAGAAAGAATGGAGCGAGTCATTCTTACTCTTGGCAAACATGAACTGCAATTAGAAACCTGACTCTAGATAACACAGATTCAAGAGAAATGAAACACATCAGTACAAGTGTCCTTACACAGAAGAATAAAAATAACAAGTCCAACTCAAAAAATATAAATGTTGAATGACTATGATCATCTCAACAAGACTCTGAGAGTCACTATCAGATTGAACTTGCTGGTTCTAGCCACAGTGTCATCTCACTAACCCTCACAGCTCTTTAGAAGCACCATCCCCCTAAGGAATAAAGACAGACTGAAAAAACATTCCCAAGCTGTGATGCAAATCCTGAAAATCCCCTTCACCCGACTGTCTAAACAGTCATTTGGTGTCTCAAAGTCTGCCTGGGCAGTTGGGCCATCGGTGACTATCACCTCAGCACTGACACCATGTTCTCTGCTGCTTGCAGTATATCAAACAGACACATGACATTCTAGCTGGATCTCCACTTGACCTGGCACAGAAGAAACAAATCCTTAACAACACAGCAGAGGAGCTTTGGGCAAAATGTAATTCAGGTTTCTCTCAGATTTTTCCACCAGAAAACAATTTCTCCATAAACTTATTCAGAACACCACAATTCTGTTTTTATCCAGTCACTTGGAAAACAATCTTCCATTCTGAAGTGAAATCCCTGTTAGATTCTTAACATCCTTCCTGTTTGAACACAGTCTACTCCCACTTTGGAAGGCCACAAAGGGCATTTATTAATAACGTGCTGCAAGTGCCCTCCAAAGCCCTCTGCTGCAGGGCTCTTGCCTTGCCTTGCCTTGCGTGGGCTCAGCACTTCCATGGGCTTCCCTGCACACTGCATCCTGCCTGCGTGGGGCTGCACGGAGCCCCCCAGCTGCCCCTGCCCACAGCCCTCCCGAAACTGCTCCACCTGGCCCACTCCAGACACGGAGACCCCATATGGATATGGCACAGGCAGGGGAATTCTGCTTAATACACTTAAGGATGGATGGATAATGAGGTATATGCAGACAGTGTGGAAAGAGGCTGGTTCTATTATCCGAAATCTCTGCGACTACAAGCAAGCAATATACCAAATTTCTTCCTAATCAAAATTTGATACCTAGAATAGGAATTGGATGTATTCGAAAAGTCTTTTTAGGACAGCATTAACAGCTGGGAATGTTGTGTCAGCTCTCTGATCATGTGTGTTTGCTAATCCAGCTCAGGCTTGGATTAACGTTGACTGAGAATATCTATATTAAAAAAAAAAATCTTTCACAGTTACATTAAAATTGTTTGGACCTCAGAAAGCAAAGAAATTCTTGCAGCTAGTATGCCTTGCTCACCTCAATTACATCTTTGTAAGGACAGATTCATTCTAAAGTAGTTAAGAGATTAAAAAAATCTACAATTCAGACTATACCTTTATAAAAAAAACCCTCTCAGTTTACAAGAACTAGAGGGTAAGTGTTTATATAGGAAAATTCTTATTAGTAGCAATCTGCTTCTCTGATGATTAAAAAGAATTTCCTCTAACAAGGCAAATGCTTTGTCTTGAACATACTCAGCAGGTGCTTTGTACTTTACAACGTTTGGCTGTCTCTAAACTACCTTTTTCTATCTAAATTCAGTCCTATTTGATGGAAGAAAAAAAAAAAAAAGTTATCCAGCATGGAGCAATAAAAAACAGCCAGTGCAATGTCTTAATCTTTCTTTACACAAAGAACTCACCTGTGTGAACTTTTGTTTTGTGCTTCTTTAGATTTTTTATATCTGTGTAAGAATTTCCACACAATTCACAGATAAATGGTCTTTCACCTAAAAAAAAGAATGTGTTTGGCAATTAGAACTGAAAAATATAATTATGAAACTAAGAGAAAACACAATTATATATCCAGGAGAACAGATTTTGAAGTTATATTTTAATATGTAACTTTGCAACTGTAAGTTATTTTGTCTGTGCCTGTACTTTATAACAGAAGCATTTGCAGAAAAATAGATGCAAAACAAAAGAATCTCATGCTTGAAGTAAAGCCATGTTAATACAGCAATGCCTAAGCTGTTAGGCACTAGTCTGAAAATGCAACTTAAATCACAAGCACGTTCTTTAAATTATGTTTAACTCACAGATACACCATTTTCAAGCACAGCACAAGTCCAATGAATGTAGGAAATTATTTATTTAACAGGAAACAGCTTGTCTGGAAACTGACCTGTATGGGACCGAAAATGTTTATTGAGCTCTCCAGAGGAAATAAAGCTCTTTCCACAAATGCCACAGATATATGGCTTCTCTCCTAAAGGAAACACAAGGAGTTTGTTATTACAATATATCAACCAGAATAAGCAAAAGACAAATTAAAACCAACAGAGGCACTATCCAATGGGAAAAGCAGCCCCCAAACTGAAGTCAAAGGGAAAGCACGTAAGAAAGAAGCTGATGGATGGAAACACCAGTGGTAACTCCCAGATAATCCCAGTCTACAACGTTCCTGATCATCGCTGCTCTCTGTCCTCTCTGCCAGGGAGCACCTGGGTGCTCGGCCTCTCCTTACCTGTATGTTTTCGGGAATGGGTGATGAGCGAACTGGACACGGCGAAGGCCTTCCCGCAGGTGTCACACACGTAAGGCTTCTCCCCCGTGTGGCGCCGCACGTGGTAGGTGAGCGTGCTGGCCTGGGCAAAGCGCTGGCCGCAGCGGTCGCACACGTAGGGCTTCTCGCCGCTGTGCTTCCTGCGAAGGAACGCGCGTTACGGAGGACACCCGCCGTGGCGGGAGCTCGTGCGAGGCGCCTCAGCCAGGACTTTATCCCTCAAGCTCCTGCAGCTGATGTTCTGTGAACTTTAATTAAACAAACACACGCCACCGCAGTGACCCGGAGTCTGGCCTTGAGTTTGCAGTTTCTCACTGAGTTAATTCACTGTCTGTTGACCCTGGCAATTACAGTATTGATGATTTCAGTGGCAGCTAAATTGAACTATGGGCATTACACTTGTAACGTGCAGCATGAGAACTCAGCAAGTTTGGAAGACGATATATTGCAAGGTACAAGGCTGATTCCTAATAGAAGAGCATAACTTGTGCTCCTGCCAAAAGAATACAAACAGTCCCATGTAGACAGGGGAACACAGTGAGATCTGTTCTGTTTCACTTCTGGCCAAGGAATTCTTTCCTTGTCCGTGTTAAAAAGAGATCAAGGAACAAAACAAAAATCCAGACATTGACATAAAGACATATTGTGAATGCCACAATATCCATAAATTGCAAAGCACTTCCCTAGTGAGGGAGTATACAGACATATGTACCTATTATGCGGTGCAAAAACAAAACCTGAGAGCAAAGTAGGAGGAGAAATAACCAAGTTATGTGAATATTTAACTCCTGCTCACACTGAATTGTTCTCTCTGTTTAAATAAATGCACAAGTAAACATCTGTAGATCTGAGGATCCCACTCGTGCCTACCTGGCGTGAATCTTGAGATTACTCGACGTTGCAAACTGCAGATTGCACACATCACACTTGTATGGTTTCTCTTCTCCGTGGTGCATCCGGCTGTGGAACACTAACTGGCATTTCTGGGCAAAGCCTTTGTCACACAGCTCACATTTGTATGGCTTCTCCCCTAGGTTTAAAAAAAAAAAAAAAAAACAGTCTACATACGTAGGCTTTCCAACCCATTTACCTGATCAAAGCTCAAATCTCTGTTCTAGTACTTCTTGCAAGTAACATCATGTAACACCTGATAACTAAGCCACTGAAGCGCTACCTGCCAAGAATACAGCACACACTAGACCATTTTTGAACACATTGCTTTTTGAAAGACAGAGAAAAAGTAATGCTTTTATAGCCCCATTTCCCCATATGCTGTTGAGAATCCTGCTACTACTCTTTCACACATTTTGAAAGAAAGATTTTGCTGATTATGTCTGTTTACAATACTGAATATTTGAAATGACACACAGTGTATTACCTACTTTTTTTGGTTTTGTTTTTTTGCCTGTAAAGCAGCAAGAAGACTTTAGTATACCCTCTAGTTCTCACAAACATTTCATTAGCATCTGCTGTAGATGCTCCAGGTTGTTCTTGGTGGTCAGCAAGGTCTCATCTAGTGAACTGTACAATCTCCACAGTCTTAGATGATGCTATAAAGAGCCTGTGCTTGTATTCCTAGGGCAATGCACAAACAAGCTAAGAACACAACAATCCTGAAGCATGCTGCTTCCAAAATCAAATACAACTAACTTGCCATCTAGCAACTGACCATTAAAAATCCCTATCTATTCATGCAAAAATTTCAAATACAACACAGAAGTAAAAAGCACATCTGACTTTCCTAACAGGAAACTCTGCCTGAATTTTGCTCACAAACTTCATCTCACACATGAATCTTTCGTTAGTCACTGACTGATAAATTTGCAATCCTCTCTCTTGGCCACTGGTCAAGGTCAAGGTGTGTACCCAACACCTCCTACTTCACCTCTTCCACATCTTCATGGCTTCCTAGATATAGCTCCACTGTTGACCTCAGCTCAGAGTTTTCCAAAGGGGAGGAAAGAGCAAAAGGAAAAAGGTTTTCATCTTTTTCCTTGTTAATTCAGAATTCTGAGAAACAGCCACAAAAGGAATAAAACAAAGGAAAGAAGGTCCCCCCCATGCTCACTAGGTTAGGCACAGCAGCAGAGGCAATAGCAGAACAGCTGCAGCACATCTGGTCCAAGACCCAGTTAACCTGAGGCCGAGTCTCCAGTAGGAAGAATGTAAAAACAGACAAGCAAGAACACTACTGCTCGAGTATGTCTTCCCAGGCTGCAGCAATTTGCTGCTCATAACCTTAATATTAAATGACTCATAGTTGATTTTAATTCCATGCTTTCTAGGAGCTCTGAATACCACACTTCAAGTAATGGGACTGAACGACAAGAGCTAACATCCTCATACTTTTCAGCTAAACATTTGACTACATGAAATCAAAATGTTGTACCGACTTAGCTATTTCTCCTACTTTTTTTTTAAAATAGACCTATGGAAAGAATTATCTACTTATCACAAGGATGCATCCTTTCTTCTTCTATCTGTGTTACCAAACTTCAGACTGGGCATTATAGAACAACAACAGAAATCATGGTTATCAAGCACACCGAGCTTCTCACGCTCTACTGGCAACACTGACCCTTCATTCCCTGTAATCCCTCCTCAAGAGAAAGAAGAGTCAATTCCCCTGAGACTTTCCAAAAATCAAGATGCTCACACTGACAGAGTCCTCTCTGGGTATTTAACATTTTTCAGCACTAAATGCGTTTCTATTTTAAAGCATTTCACGCTACCAGGGTACACCCCATATCCATACCTGTAGCAGACAAAATTTCTAAAGCAAAAGTCAAACTGCATGCAAAGATCTTTTTAGCTATGTATTCGCATGCTGCTATTGCGGATCTCAGCTGGAGAGGAGAAAGCCAAAAGCGGTTACCTGTGTGAGTTCTTACATGTGTCTTCAGCTGGTTGCACTGCGTGAACGCCTTCCCGCAGAGCTGGCACACGTAGGGCTTCACTCCTTTGTGTATTCGCATGTGGCGACGGAGGCTACTGGCTTCCGAGAAGACTTTTCCACACGTGTTGCACACTGGTTTGGCTTTGGAGAACTTCTGATCCAGCTCTTCCCCCAAGCCCTCCAGCTGGTAAGTGCTCTTTTCACTGGCTATGTTAGACATACAGTGTGCTTTCAGCGCACAGTTGGGCTGAGGTTTTCCCCGTTTTTGTTTTGCTGTAAGAGTCTGAACTAAGAGATCTTGTGCTGCCAAAGTTTCACTTTCCACCGCAGATGACAACTGTAGTTCAGAGTTATCACTGCCCTGGGCAGCCTGTTCCGTTATCTGTGTGGCCAGCTTATTCGCGTCTAAGAACATCTCAATGGACGTGTTCTCAGCCACATCATTCTCATATTGTACTGATTTATTCTGTATGCTTTTGGCGGGGGTAAAATTCTTCTTTCGCTTTTTGGTTTGAGCAGATTTCTTTTCTAAGGCTGCTTTCTTTGCTTGTGGTTGAACAACGTCTGCAGAAGCAGCATCTGCTTTCTCCCGATTATTGTAATCTCGGAGAGTCAGAAGGCAAGTTTGCTGATTCATTTCAATGTTCCCTGTGATACTAGATGTCTCTGTAGAAGATGGATTAGCAATAAAAGCAAAGTCTTCCATTTTTATCTTGCATTTAGTGACCACTTCTTCTACTTTGAGATAGTCAGCAGCCTGGTGAATTTCTTTAACATTCCAGCTGTAAGAAAATAAGACTTATGTGAAAATATTCCAGACAAAGCAAAAATGCATTCTGTATCAAATATATTAAATACAGATAGCAGAGCTATGGAAAAATTATCAGAAAACACAACTACGAGATGAATGTAGCAAGAGCTAATCTAGTGTTTATTACAGCAAGACAGTTACTCCCAAAGTGATGGTCCATGTCTACTAGGGTCTGGGGGTCTAGAGAACTACAAAATTTATTTGCATAGCTTTTGTAGCATTTTAAGTTAAAAGTCCAGTCATAATGTGGCAAGGCTGAATACTTTACTTGTTTGTTGGTCCAAAAAGCTCAGAAATTACAGTATGAAAGGCTAAAAAAAAATCAAGAATAAAATACAAAAATTATCATTCTATAGTTTTTCTGCCAAAAATGTTAAGCAATTCACAATGTATTTACCTCAGCTGTTCTGTGAGGCAGGCGGTAATCCTGTTTTATAAAATGATTTCCAAGAGTCTTTACTTTGGATCAACAACACACAGACAACATTAAGACCCATAAGTTCTTGCAACACAGGCCTCAGTGCTTTAGAAAAAAAGCTTTCTAAAGAAGGTAGCATACATTTAACATATACCACCAACGAAGCTAGGGATTTACAGCACCTTAAAGATAGATCAGTGGCAAACATCATCTTATCAATCTATCACACGCTTGGAAACGCCAAGAGCCTCCTCCGCACTGCTCCCGGCAGCGGCTGCTCCCAGCGCAGGAGCTCGCAGGAATAACCTTCCCCTCGCTCGCCGGGCTGTGCTCCTTCTCCTTGTCATCTTTTGCTTCTTCCAACTGCTTGCATTCGTACTTAATTCCTAACAACTTGGACTAGGTTATGTGCAATACTAATGTGAATAAAACAGATTTTTACCAACTAGTGCTTCAACTTCAACCTCTGTTTTCTTTTTCCATGTTTCATTCTCTTTCTTCATCTTATCTGCCTTCCTTTCCTGCCTTTTTTCTTGTTCACCTATTTTCTCCTCTCTTCCTGTCTTTCTTTTAAGCTTTCCTCCTTCAGGCCATAGGCAATAGTTACAGTAGCAGAGGGCTGCACAAGTTCCTAAAATCAACAACTTTAGAAGAAACAGTAGTAATAAGTTATTAACTTATCTCTTATTATAGTCCAAAGTTTCTTTGGAATACATTAAATGCAAAATCCAGTTACGATTCAGTGTAGTTGCACCATTCAAGTTACAAGCAACAATAATGCAACCATCTGTTGCATTAATTTGCTATGAGAATACACGGAAAGATAGAAGTTCTTACAGATATGATGCATAATAGATTTTAAGGACATCAAAAACAAAGAATAAAACCCACAGGGGATATTAACAATTAGATATCTGCAATAGCATGCAAATTTAAGCCTATTTTTATAATACAACTATAACCAAAAGTACAAAAAGGAAATACTCTCAGTGCTGCAGAAATTCCCATTTTCTTTGTGCTTTTTTGCATTACAGTACACTATAGCAGAATAATTAATTACATTGTCTGATTTTTTTTAAATTAAGCAAACAATCAAGGCTCTGTATTAACAGCTCTGAACGTCTACCACTGTGGAAGCAGTTAGAAACGAGACAACGAGTAACTAGGAACAACTATTCCTTGCGTTTGGCTACAACGGTTTTACTCATCTTCTGCAACACTAGCCCTGAGTTCAAAGCAAAACCCCACGGGTTTCAGCCGTGCTCCCCGTCACAACACGGAGCAGCCTCTGCAGGCAGCTGCAGCAGTCACCTGAAGAGCAGGAATTCACCTCAGCACACCTGCAGGTACCCGCTGCGCTCAGTAACTGCCCGCTGAGAATTCCACCTCCATCCCTCTCCGGCCTCAGAGCGAATCCAGGAACTCTCCTAGCGCGGGCCGGACAGGCGTCGAGGAAGCTGCCCGCTCTCCTGCGTACTTAGCTTGCAAAGCACAAACACTGCTTTGAAGTAATTGTTTATATTGCTTTACTGCTGTTCATGCTTGTTACTAATTTTGAACAAAACCAACCTGCGCATTTAAGTAACAAAACACGAGGTTAGGCCATCAATGGCAACAAAGGTTGCTTTTAAAACGCACTTACCAGCACCCATCAAGCAAGGGTGCCAAGACTGGGCTATGGATTTCTAAGCACTGAAACTGCTCTGTTGGTGGAGGGTCTCTTTTTCCTTCCGAGAGGGAACACTCCCAGTACATCCAGGAACACAGGACGCAGAACATCAACACAGTGAAGGAGGAAAACACCCTTTCTGCAATTCCCCTCAGCTATGGAAACTGCAGACTGTGATTCTCAATGAAAATCACGCAAACTTCAACAAATATATATATTTTTTAAATAGCAACTATCCTCATCTCTTAAATTGCAGCCTCTAGTGCAAATAAAGTTTCTGTGGGTTCACTTCAGAAACGGACTCCTATAATCCAGCTTCAGAAAGCACACACTTATCCTTCTCTCTCCTAGAAAACACTGAAGATTTTTAATCCTTCTTGATCCAAACAGAGAAACACAGAAGGTGAAACTATTGTTAAATTAGCAAAGTATCTTTTTGGAGAGCTAAAAAGGACAAGTCACTTATCATCTGAAAAACATGTATCGGGTAGTATTTTAAAACACATAATCTGAAGATCTGTGCTTGTTAATAGATACCCACTATTATTTTTTCCTGCAAAACTTGTTCTAAGAAGGAAACACAGGTAATGCTTTAACACAAAGTTCATTTCCCTTTTCTCGCCCCTCCCCTTTAGCCGCGTACGTTACCTGTCAAGGTTTAAATTCCCCGTATAAATAAATTCCAGGAGCTTCTGGAAGCCGTCGGCTTTCACCTGCGCCTGGTCCAGCACGACGTTGCTGTCCGAGGCGTCCCTGTAAAAGGCGCCGAAGTACTCGCTGAAGGAGGCGAGCACGTTCCTGTGCGCCTTGAACTGGCACTCGCCGATCACCACGGTGCAGTCGCACAGGAACCCGGCCTCGCGCTGCTTGTTGAGCCGCTCCAGCAGGTGCTCGCAGTGGTGCGAATACTGCATCTTGGCCCCGCGCTGCCCCCCGGCGCGGCCCCTGCGGAGGCGCCGGCTGC